CGAGGGAGCAGCAAACAAAATAAGGTATGTGTGTGGCCGAAACGTGGGTCTGACAAGGAGGCCCTATGGGTGTTCGAAGTGACAACGAATAGTTGTTATCCCAAAGGTGGAACAGGCTTGACGAAACGAAAGCGTAGTCAGACTCTACTAGAGCAGACCGTGAGCCATGCATGGGAATATGATTGCATCAATTGTCGTGCCAACATATCCTGAAAGTGTAAGGAGAACGTTGAGAGGTAAAGAAAAATTGTAGTCCATAATTGTACGAGCCAATTGATTGAATGTTAGTTGGCATTCAGCATCGATACGTACACGTAAGGTCTATGACATACCAATACATCCAGACCAAACACGGAATATATATAATAAATTTTAACGGCTCTAAAAACCAGAGCCGGTTGGTTGCCTAGCGAAGGCAGTCGCGGCGAAATGGAAGCGTGCGCCGCGAATCTGGGAGCGCTCATCATATACGATAGACGCTTTGTAGCTCCAGACTTGCGTTGTGCCAGTTCAGTTCAGACTTTACTGAAATTTCTAAAAAAAAAAACGGCCACCATTTAAAGCCGATGACGAGTAAAAGGGAAGAATGCATTTCGAATGAAGGAACACAAAAATGAGCACTCTTTAGGACGGGCCTCCATTTTGTCTGTGCATCCGTGTCAATAACGACAATTAACGATGATGAAAAAACCACCGATGGCAAAGTGTCTAAAGTAGCAGTTTTTAAAGGCCATTGTATACAACCAACTCTATCGGAAGTTTCAATGTTTAAATCATGCGCCAGAAAAGAGATTGTTTTTCTCGCATATATATGTCCGCACAAGTCGCTACTTTCGTCTGTACATCGGTTCATTAACCTTACAGAAAATTGCCTGTTTATGGTTGATCCGAATACTGTTAGTAATTATGACGCGTTACTTTCGAAAACATACTAATGCGACCGCTATCAAAACGTATTCGGTGCATCCTAAAATTTGTCTGTTGTTAGCGTTATCAGCAATAACAGTGCGAGCAGCGGACCAGGCAGTATTACGAAAAATTATCCAAGGCAAAACGATTACCACAAGAACGCCTATCAAAAAAGTACCTCAAACAGTAATACTACGTGCTAAAAGCGGCAAGAATAGTTTTCGGCCCGTGAAGAATGGCAGATTGGAACGGATTTCGGTTGAGGCCAAAAGATCTCTCGCCAATTTTCAGGGTGCTTACATTGCAAAGTATCTGGGATATGTGACATAAGAGGTATCGAAAAATCATATATAACTAAAATTAAAAAAAAAGTAAGTTATTTTAATTATTTTGCGCACAAACCTTCCATGCACGATAGATGCGTTGCTCAGATAATTATCAATACGGTGTGACTTTATTATTATTATTATTTTTTTAATACATATTTTTTCTACACATAGCGTTAGGGAAAACGCATCATAGATTTGTATTGACATACGCGCTAAGAATAATACTTAAAAATGGAGACAGCAGTTTTTACCAGAAGTCTTGCTTCGTCCCTAATTGATGACACATAAATGCTGTGTTTCCCTGTATAATATCCCGTGTCGTTTACAATTTCTTTTCGACCGTTGCTTTTAGCTGGAGGAACAATATAGAATTCAATATGTCCTACGGCTGACTTTCCTGCTTGAGAAACTGCAAAGCATGGAACGTGTTTGGAGCGAGAAAAATCGCACCTGTGAACTTGATCCCGCCACCGATCGCGACTGCTTCCAGCTGTATACAGGGTTTCTGCTTGCTGAAGCTGTTTTCGTTTAGGCGCCTATGACGGCCGTTTGCGTCCGCGCTACCAATGTGCGTTGGCCAACAACAATCGCTGACGGGGGCAGATCTGTGGTATGCCCAAATGCTACCTCTATCGCTCTTTCTTTCCTTTGCTGTGTCGATTTTCCATTTGCGACGACACACATACATCTGCTGCTGCTGCTGCTGTTCGACCACGATACGGAGGCGGAGTAGTCCCAGCGTGTAAAGGTGCGTCAAAGGCCCCACAGAAGATATTTTGTGATCCCACCAACGGAAGTGTTGTAGTGGAAAACATTGGTCAGTAGGGAACCGGCTCCCTGTGATGCTAGATCGGCTTCCAGACGGTTGTATTTCACTCTCCCATTTGGTTCCGCTGCCCTACGGCTGTGCTCCTACAACATAGCTTTCCCCCAAAGATTAGTTCCAAGAGAGCCCTGACGGGCACATGATTGCTTGATTTCTGCTTCTCATGTTGCCGACGGAGGTAGCGCTGGAGATTCAAATGAATCTCCAGCGCTAGCTCCGTCGATATTACATGCAGTTCTTTCACGAAGTAAAATCTCAATGAAAATCGAAGCCACTATCATTCCATCTTATGAATCTACGACCGAGCACGCAACTCCCACGTATATTGCATTGAGCTGGCTTCCGTACGTAGCCGGTAACTCAGAGACCGGCAGCGGTTGCCCTCCGGCAACGCCTATTGTTAACACTTAGCAAGCTTTTCATGTCAGGCCCTTTAGGCCATCTTCTTGCTTCCTTGTTGGTTTTTTTCTTCTCCTTTTTTTCCAAGAGGCACAAACATCGATGATAGAAACTGTGTTGATGACATTAAAAGAGAAAAGAACGATATGAGGTTCGGTGCTTCCGGACGCCGTCAATTGCCACCCGCGTATCATAGCAGTTATCAAGGAAAGCTAGCGAGCCTTTGTGACCACAGAAGGCATTGTACATATAGCATGTGTATTTTTCCATGTACTTCTATTCACGCATATTGAATATATGTATCGTACACGCGTATCAAGGTGCGAGTCATGGAAAAATATATAGACTGTATAATGTAACCGATTGGGGGTATGCTTCAGTGGGCTATAGGTAAGTACATACAGATGACCCAGAACCTGCAATGGACTTCTAGCCCTAGCTGCGGCCCGTTGTACTACTGTCGCTATGGTGCATCCAAATATGTGCAGCAAAGTGTTTACACCAGCGTCTTCTTCGTGGCATAAGCGATTTCAGCATCCGGCAAGGGCTGCCGGAACTGTCTCACACTAACAACAGCGCCACAGGCTCGCCTAGCAATAGTTCGAGGCCGACTAAGCTGTTTCGTCATATTTTATGGTCGTTTGTCACACGCGGACGGGTCATGTCGAGAGGAAAGACATGAGTTCCTTGATGTGGTAGCACATCAAACAAGGCGTTATTACAAGAGCCGGTTGAAAGAGACAAGGACAGAAGGAAATAACGACAAAAGTCTGCGCGTGGAAATGAATGCAATTTTTTAGCACTATGAATCCAGGCAAACGGCGGCATCGTAACTCATACAGTCGCAAGTAGATAATATACAGAGGGGAAGCGATGAGAATATGTGCCGATTTGCCAACAGCGATAAGACGAAGCTGATCTTGGTAACGTGGAGCCACTACCACAACCGCTGGTAGACCCGGAAAGCTTGAAGCTGTTTCCTGATAGTCTGGTATAACGGGGACCATTGCCTGGAAGATAGAGTCGGGCGAAACCTCCGTCTGTTATATTCATGACTTTGACACGGTGATAGGTATGGTGTGTCGATGCACGTTACGAGGAGTTATCCTACCGAGTTGAGCGAAATTACAGATCTAGGCGTTCTTTAGTAACGAGCTTTTAAGAACATAGACTATCTCGCTTACTGCAATAAGTTGCGCATTTAGTTGAATATGTTGTGAGATCGTTTCCCGTAGGCTAACCATAACAACGACCGCAGCAGCTACGATAGCCACAACAGACATCACCATCTGAACTGCAGCCACAAGCTTGAGTAACTCCCAAAGACCAGATGTGGAGGTTTTGTATCGATTCATAGGGAGCTCATCAACGACAACATAGACATGCTGCGAAATTGACGAGCACGCGGTGAACCTCACACACCGTCTAAACGTTAGCCTTTTTTCACTGTCTAAATGTTGGTAGAGTAATTTTACGATGAGAATTCCATATGTTATCATCCCATATCCTCATGAAGCGTATCCGTATCATCAAGGGCTGACGAAGGCGTAGATTTGATGGTATACAGTTTGAGTTCGATCTGTATTTCCCGCTTCCCGTAAACCCATTCGCATTCACGGATTAGTCTATAACACTATCGCCTGGTGTTTCACTAAATATGGGTGACAGTTTATAGATCATTTCGAGTGCATGTCGATCGTATTGATTGCCTGTTTGCTGAAAATTGAGTTGGGCGCAATGTTAGTGCTTGTCGTACGAGTTCGCTAGTTCAGTCTCTGTTCTTGTGGATTTCTTTGTTCCTTCACGAATAAATGTCTATAGAAATCTATCTGTTCGTAGATATTGTATCCCATTCCATTGCGAACGCTTCAATCTATGCACACACAATGCCAAATATATTCATTTGTATCTTAGGCCGTCATTGTTAGGGTACATTCGTTCGGAAGACGTAAGGTCTCTGTAAGCCGTCCATCAATAGCGATTGCCGTAGATAGAATTCATACTACTACTACTACTGTATATGGCACACAATGTTAATTCAGACCGATTTTTGGCCAGAAATTTCCAATGCGACCGCAAATGCGTCTCCGGTCACACACAGAACCACACACATATACTATGTTGTTTAGTTCGTTACTTTTAAAAATAAGCCTGGTACATAGGGCATCTGTGATTTAATTTCTCGACAATATAACTACTTTAAACGAACGCTGAGACGAGCGAAAGCTCAAGATTATCTACTATGAACTTAAATTTTCATTCAATTATCAGATCCGATAGCCGTTTGACGCAAGGTAAACTTCTTTCTAACTTTTTTTTTCTTGTTTTATACAAATCATGATGGACAACGCAATAAATGTTAAACTGCACGCAACTGTATAAATAGGTACTTTTATCTAATGCCGTAACTTATCATATGATACAAACAATGCAAATGATGCACAAACAGTGAAGCCCATTTACTGTCCACAGTAGACTGAAATGCATATCTCCGATTTGATGGGCATAATCTGGCATCAACGACGTTGACGTTTCAGGACTGGGTTGACGTCAACCTTCGCTGGGACCCCGTCAAGTATGGGGGTGTCAGCGATCTACGAATACCTCCGCATAAAATATGGAAGCCAGACGTTCTCATGTACAATAGGTGAGTGCACATATATGGCTTCGATTTAGTTATTGAATTTATAATAGCGGTATAGATAGTTGTTTCCCAGCATATTTAAGAAGCGATAGCAATCGGGGTTTGTTGGGTAGGTAATAGTTTGTTGGTGTCTTTGTGGCCTTAACTACGTCTGAATTTCCCTACGGGAATTTTCTGATTACGGACATTTTGACATCTGCGATATACCTCTGATATCTGTAATGTTCAGTGCCATCAAATTACGTATTGCTGCGGATTTGCGCGTGATGGCTGGAAGAGAGATCGTTATTATTGGTATTGATTTTTATTATATTATCGGTGGAAATTTTTAGTATGGTTGTACTTATAAGCTAGGAAACTGCACAGAAAGATAGCAACCGATCGCCGAATTCTAATAGGGATATTGTGTTTCCTATTGCGAGACTTGTATCGTCGTATAACGTAACGTCCGCCACCTTTTACATGGCTTCCTGTATACGTCAGCACAGTTTCGCGAAAAAATGACGAAGTAAGCTTTCGAGGCTACGTCAACAACAGACGACAGACAGTAATGCCGCGGTGGAGGCATTTTCACTGCGTGTTAATCCTTGATTGCCCACATTTCGACGTTCGTCCGGAACACGGCAGAAGTACGCACTGTAATATGCTCGTTTGGAAGGTAGACAACCGATGAAAGAAAAAGAATGAGACAGGAGTATCAATCTATGATCGGTGTTACAAATAAAACATCGATCCCAAAACCTACCGACAGGCCTAAAGGACACGCTCCAAAAATATCCACGAAAAAGAATTTTGTTTAGAGCTCTAATGATGTGGACCTCGTTCCCCAGTTTATTCTATCGAATCCTCTAAAGGACAGCACTTCGCTAGAAAAGCGGATTAACGAAAGAATTATATTTACGATGATGACTACAAAGGAAGGTCTGTTTGAAAAAGGGCCTCATATTACAATAATTCAGTGTATAACACTGTATTTTTAGGAACATGGCTTCTGCTGAAACTTTTCCAGCTGCTGGACTATAAAGAAGAATCAAACCCTAATAGGGCAGCAACGGAAGAGCCAGTTGCTATAGTGGGCTTGGTTTTTCACAAGGAAGCTCCGTAAAAATTTTGTGATTCGCGAATCGCACCTATTGCAAGGTGAAGCAAATCGGGTTGCCTTTGACATGCACAGGGTTTGCTCGTTATTTCAAGTTCGTGACTTGATAGCGTAATGTCTTAAATCCTTGGTAACCCACTCTGTTTATAGTCTTCTTAGTAAAGCATAAAAACGAGTTGTTTTTATAAAATACAATGGGCTAACTAGCTACGTTTCCGCTAGCTACTTCTTGTTTCCGCTTCGGCAACCTGAAATATTTACGGCTCCTGTATAGCAAAAAAGAAAAAAAACGATTATTATTAACTCGCGCATAGATCATAATATACGTCTGCTAAAACCACTCCACTCCACTCCACGGTAAATTAGCACAATTTGAAGACTAGTCAGCTTCGTTTCATGTTCCCTGGTATAAAAGTCTTCGTGGCATTCTTTTCGATCCTCTATAGACTCAATGTATGGTAGCTGAAGTGCTCGGATAGCTGCTCCACAGCTTTCTACCCTGTGTCCGTCCACCCTTGGCGGCCTATGACAGGAAGTATCAATAAATTTAAAGCTGAGTTATTTTTGCGGACACCCTGTTTCGTTTGGGCCCTGCTGGCAATAAAGCTACCCAGCATTGGGTAAATATTGGTGTGTAAAGGGCATGAAGCAGGAGCAAAATAAGCCTCTGGGTCCAGCTGCCTACTGTAGTTGATTCCGGCTTGTTTCAATGGACCCCTACCTTTTTCAGAGAAACTAAGTAAACATTTTCAAGCAATATGCAGCCAAGCCTCTCGTGCGTACAAAATGTTTGAAAATATCAAAATTACAATTGAGGAATGAAAGAAAAAGGAACTATATTGGTTTATAGTATCCATCTGCGTATGCTTGTAACGCCATTATCGCGTTCAATGGTGATACGAATGTAAAGTTCTCGAGTAGTGCTAGGGGCAATAACTGTTGTTGCGCTTTGAAGGTACACAATGTTCTTATTAGCATCAGGTAAACTGGATTCAATTAGGTTTCTATTCGTCAACTCACTAGCGTTTCGCTACATGAGCCATTCTCTTGAGCTTTGCCAGCGATGCCAATAGTTGGCCTATGTCTGCTATGTACGGGATGAACGTTGTCAGTAGAAAAAGCTTCGTTAATAAAGTAGATTACATTTTCTCTTATGCTCCAGACAATAAACGACCTGGTACCTTAGTCCTCTAATCGAACGTTGTTGTAACTAGGGAACGGCTGTGTTTCCTGATGATTACTGATTCTTCAGTAAACAGCCAATCCTTATGATTTACTCGTACACGTAGAGCAAATAAAATTTTAAAAAAAAACCATCAGAATTTTTACTCATGCATTGACGAAACAGTAGCTGATTAAATCTCTGTTCCAAAATATGCACTTCCTTAACGTCAAGACTGAGTTGATAACAAAAGCCGACCGTCCTGTGGTCCTAACGAATAACATTCCCACTAGACTTTTTGGTATAAAATATAGCTTCCGTCCGCCTTTTAGCAGCCCCTTGCCCATTTTCTCTGGGCGTTGTTCTAGCAAAGCACTCCGTACACCAACGTGTTCTGGGTTAAGCTTCGTCTTTTATACATAGTACTTACAGTCATAGATCCGGATATCGGTCTGAAAAAACCTTATCTTATTCCCCTACGGGAAAAAGGCGCAGGAGTAATCCGGCCGCAGAACTGTAGTCGCTACTGCTGTATGCTGGTTTTATCAATATTTAGAATTCTGAACGCCACATAGTACGCACAACGTGGTCATGCTATATAGCGGTGCTGTTATTAACGACTGAGTCCAAGAGCTGGTGTGTGTGATTTGGTGGTCAACGATTCACTGGCATGATTTATAAATACAAAGACAGGGTTGACGATTAAGGACTAAGACAGCATAGAATACTGTTTGCCTGCTAATATAGCGTGAAATATCCACGATAGGAACACATATATTAAAGGGACGGTTAATATGCTATCGTCTGTTGTAATACGCAATGTGCTACCGTGCCCTAACGGTAAGTGCTCGTGACACGTAGAAGTTACAAGATGATTCGATAAGTGTATGCTGGACTCATTTGAACCCATATTTTTCCAATAATGAGGTCGCTGTCTCAGGTCGTATTATGTTTGTAGAACGAAGGAGGATAGCATAAGCAAATATGTTTGATAGTATTATTTGTCTCCTTTCTGCTCCTACGGATGGGCACGTCTACGACGTACGCAAGCTTCTGGACCAGACTAGTGCAAAGTTTCGCTGCAAGGTTTCGCCAAAATCTGTGCGTAACTTGCTATTTCTTTCGCAAGAAAAAATCGAGTGAAAATACGAAGGTCTAAGTTTCATGTATATAGTATTAAAGAGCGTATAACTATAAGAAAGGTTTTATTACCTGACGCACCGAGCCGGATAGAATGTCCAATAAATATAACCCGTCACGCAAGCAACCCCCTAGCTTTTTAATATAAGGTAGCACCAACGTATAGAAGAATATGGCTATGGCTTGCCCTTAGTCCATTACTTTGAACCCTCTTATGCTTGTAGTTGTCTATAGTCACAATGCTCGGCTGCACAGGACTGCGCTATTTTACCCTTTCAAGGTGACATTAATAACATTAACTTTAAAAAATAATTTCGTCGCGTCTATTCGTAGTCTGTTTTTTTAACCATTTTTCTCGTGCCCCAGTAAAACTATGAATCCGTCATTGCAGAAGCGATTATTACGAAAATATCGAGACTTCTCGCACAGGATTCATGCGCTTTATACGAAAATGCCGACGCTAGTCCACCCTCAGCCAGTTTGCTGTTTCGGTGAAAGCAGAACATTTTTTGCTACGGGCAAAGTAGAACCAGCACGGGCCCCGGTGCTCGGGGCTATTCCCGCGCCGATGCTCGTATTATGCAAATCTCTCGTGTGTGCGTCCCCACTTATTCTAGGTAACGCCCGTTCAGTCGATGCCACTGCCAAGCATCCGGAATTCTGGCGTAACAACAGCAAAACCTGCCTCCTTTTGGGCACTTCGTTGCTGAGCGGTGCGTAGGTCATGTTTGCTAGAAACGATCTGTAAGCCGGCGAAATTTGCACTGATCTCTTGTGCGGTGAACGAACGCGATTTGGGATTATTAAAATTCTGAACTTCGTCGTCGATAGTAGCATGTTCAGGACGGATTACTCTTACAGACATTATACAGCATGGCATAGGTCAATGGCGACAGTGAATCTACCGGAATATCTAAATGAGTTTGATAAATCTCATCCTTTTCATGATGAGCAAGCCATCACAGCATTGTATAACATAATTTTTACTATAGTTATTAGTAGCGTCAACTTTACGGCCTGTGACCATCTCTAGGGTAGGTGGGGATCTGCGGATCGTACTATGGAACTTATGTATTCACTCACAGGCAAAAAAGTTCCGACGTAGTTTGTCGCGTGCGAACGCGTTTGCAACTACGTAATTAAGTTCGCTTGCATTTGTCAGCTATGAAAAAGTGCTAAGTTCTGCAGCCAACTGTCATATAGAAGCGAGATGCGAAAAATGACGGAACACGCCCGAAACGTTGAGTTACTAGTACGGCATAGTTCGACTTTTCGAAATCGTCTGAGAAGTTTTTTTTGTTTAACTTAACCAAATTTTTCACCTGGGTACCACATTACATGTCCTGAATGAATTTTTGCAGGAACTATAACCCGCTAAACGAACCAAATAGGAGTTGCTTCAACATCAGAGATAAACGGGCATAGAAAAGTTAGTTGTGCCCACAAAGAAAGCTGCTCTGTTTAGCAAACTGCTTGACATTCGGCTGACGACAAACTGTTATTTTAATTTTTTGACATAAAAGAGTAACGGATAGGGTAGTTTTTTTCGTAGGTACCGATTTAGATAGACAGTGTTTGTATATGCAAAGTTTTTAATTTTGA